CCCTGATATAGGACCACTGAACATAGCATCCCCTGACATAGGGCCAATGAACATAGCATCCCCTGATATAGGGTCAATGAACATAGCATTACCTGTTATAGGACCACTGAACACAGCATCCTCTGATATACGGCCAATGAACATATCATCCCCTGATATAGGGTCAATGAACATAGCATCCCCTGATATAGGGCCAATGAACATAGTATCCCCTGATATAGGGTCAATGAACATAGCATCCCCTGATATAGGACCACTGAACATAGCATCCCCTGATATAGGGCCAATGAACATAGCATCCCCTGATATAGGGCCAATGAACATAGCATCCCCTGATATAGCGTCAATGAACATAGCATCCCCTGATACAGGGCCAATGAACATAGCATCCCCTTATATAGGGCAACTGAACATAGCTCCTTTGATATAGGGCCAATGAGCATAGCATCCAATTATATAGGGACAATTGAACATAGCATCCCCTGATATAGGGCCATTGAACATAGCATCCACTGATATAGGGTCAATGAACATAGCATCCCCTGATATAGGGCCATTGAACATAGCATCCCCTGATATAGGGTCAATGAACATAGCATCCCCTGATATAGGACCACTGAACATAGCATCCCCTGGTATGGGGCCAATGAACATAGTATCCCCTGATATAGGGTCAATGAACATAGCATCCCCTGATATAGGACCACTGAACATAGCATCCTCTGATATAGGGCCACTGAACATAGCATCCCCTGATATAGAACCACTGAACATAGCATCCCCTGATATGGATCCACTGAACATAGCATCCCTGATATAGGACCACTGAACATAGCATCCCCTGATATAGGACCATTGAACATAGCATACCCTGATATATGGCCACTGAACATAGCATCCCCTGATATTGAACCACTGAACATAGCATCCCCTCATATAGGACCACTGAACATAGCATCCCCTGATATAGGACCACTGAACATAGCATCCCCTGATATAGTGGAACTGAACATATCATCCCCTGATATAGGGCCAATGAACATAGCATACCCTGATATAGAACCACTGAACCTCGCATCCCCTGATATAGAATTACTGAACATACCATCCTCTGGTATAGGCCATCTGAACAAACCATCCTCTGATATAGGGCCAATGTACGTAGCATCCTCCGATATAGGACCACTGTACATAGCATCCCCTGATATAGAGCCAATGAACATAGCATACCCTGATATAGGGCCACTGAACATAGCATCCTCTGATATAGAATCACTGAACATAGCATCCCCGGATATAGGGCCAATGAACATAGCATCCCCTGATATAGAACCACTGAACATAGCATCCCCTGATATAGGGCCAATGAACATAGCATCCCCTGATATAGAACCACTGTACATAGCATCCCCTGATATAGTACCACTGAACATAGCATCCCCTGATATAGGGCCAATGAACATAGCATCCCCTGATATAGAACCACTGAACATAGCATCCCCTGATATAGGGCCAATGAACATAGCATCCCCTGATATAGAACCACTGTACATAGCATCCCCTGATATAGAACCACTGAACATAGCATCCCCTGATATAGGGCCAATGAACATAGCATCCTCTGATATAGAACCACTGAACATAGTATCCCCTGATATAAACCACTCAACATAGCATCCCCTGATATAAAACCACTGAACATAGCATCCACTG